TCTTAAATAATCCTTATTTGATAGTAACCATTCTTAAGATTAATCCTACTAAAATACTTACTACTACTTAACCTATCTAACAAGTCATCAACTCTTAAAACTTAGTACTTGTTTTTGATAGTGATCTTATTCAAAGTTTTATAATTAATATATATCCTCAGCTTGCCATCTTTTTAACTCACAAAAAGAATTGAAGTTCCAAATACGAATTTACTTTGTTTAATGTAGCTTTTTTTAAATAACTCATTAAATTATTTCTTAAGTTTTTTTTAACTCCATTTAGTGCAATATATAAGCATCTTTACTTGATGGTTGTGTTTTTTGATCTAAATCTATCTTATGATTCACCAATCTATTAGGTGGAAGTTTCTTTAGTAATTCATTTGTCAAAACATCTCCAAACTCTAACATAAGATTTTTTTTATAAATTTTAAAAAATGTAGAGTGGTCTTTTTTAATTTCTTTTTATTATTAGGAAAATCATGTATACATTCATCATCAAAATCAGAATCACTACTTTTTAAGTATAAGAAAAATTGTTCTCATTCTAATTTACCTTGAAAGACTATAGAGATTCTAGATTCATATAATATAAATAGATTTGTGAATGGTAAGTTTATTACTTTCTCATTCTTTCCAACCATAACTACTCTTAATTTAGGCTTCAATTAAAATTCCATTCTATAAAAGTCTAAAAATGTATTCTTTAATACTACATCTATTTTACTTAGGCTATATATTGTGAAGTCTTTTTGGAACCTTTAATTTCTATACTTAAACTTCACATCTTTTACAACCAAATTAATTGTCTTTCCACCTTGGATAAAAGATATCTTCACTTCCTTAGTTGTTTAAGCCAATTCCAATTTCTTGGTACAAGTTGGATTCATGAATGAGTTGGTTGTTTCTATGTCAATTAACATTAAAACCTTAGTATTACTAATCTTAAAACTTAAATAGATGAGTTTCTTATGTAAACTTCTTAAGGTGAGTTTTCCTTCAAAACCTCCATCTCTTATCAAGACTCTCTTATTAAGACTCATAACTTGAAGCCTTTCAACTTCATGAATCCTAAATAAAAAAGAAGTATTAGAAATTTTACTTATTTTATTAGGTACTTCTTCATTCTTGCAATCATTGAAATAGTGTTTTTTTTTTTTTGATACTTAAAACAAGTCAAATTCGATGACCTTGCTTTTGCCTTCTTAGAACTACTTCTTTGGCTTTTCTTATTTCTAGGCATAGAGAATTTGAGATTATTTTCTTCAAATCTTCTTGTTGAAAAAAGAAATTTCTTATTACTATAGAAGGAATTAGCTCCCCCTTAAGAGTTGTATTTTCTTCCTAAGTCTTAATCATAGTACTTTATTTACTACGGCCAATTCCTTGTTCTTTTATTTCTAACTAAGAGGCCAAGGTAAAGGCATCATTTATGTTGGTGGAAATGGTTTTTTTTTTTTTTTCAATATTTTTTTTTAGTTGCCACACTTAATCTATTATAAAAGAAGAGTAGGAAAAAATTCTCATAATCCAATTAGGTGTAAGAAAATTGGTTTTGAAAATCTCCAATATATTTAAAGAGTGAAGTCTTTTCTGCTTCTTATCTTAGCTTCAGAAGTTGCAAACCTTCTATAAAGTTTTGCCACTTGCTTTCAAACCTCTCAATAAGTCCATTACATACTTCAATTCATATAGTTTCTTTGGCATAATTAAGATTGGCTTAGATTTTTCCATCAAACCAATCTAAAGCACTTTTCTTAAGTAGAATAAATAAGGTCCTTATCTTATCCATGCCTTTTAATATCATTTACTAAGTGTCAATATTCCACTTCCTTGAGAAACCTCCTTGTAGTTTTCTTGTGCTTTGTGCCTCTCCTCTTTTTAGGTTGATCTATTTTGGTTCTATAAGAGCTTGACTTGCCTTTCTAGCTTTTGAATAAAGTCTCTTTTCTCACATTTTTTTTCATTAAAGAGCCTATAAAAAGTTGATTCATTTCTATCTTCTTTTCAAACTCTTTGTTTTTCTCTTTCATTAATAACTTCACCATCTCCTTAATTTCATCAAAGAAAAATAACGTTTTATTTTTCAACCCTTAAACTTCCCATTGAGCTCTTTGAAGTTTTGGAAATACTTTGCCTTTGGAACCTTGGATTCTTACCCTCTTTATTACTTTCTTCCTCTTCACTTTGAAGAAATTAAATTTTTCTCAAACTCTCTATGGGTTCTTCTTGCTCTTGTTGAGTCTCTTGTCTTCCTTCTTCTATAAGAATAGAAACCTCTTCTTTAAGCAAGATCTTCTTCTTCACCAACCTTCTTTTTGATTTAGCTCCTTAATCCACTTATATTTCTTCTACATTAGCTTTAAAGATCTCTTTATTCTTCAATTGTTGGTAAGAAGGCCTTGTAGTTTTTTTCACCATTTTGCTTTAGTTTCACTTATCTTAAGCAAAATTCTTAATTAAAAAATTTTCTTCCAAAGTCTTCTCTTTATTTCTGATCTTGTAGACTTTGATACCACCTGTGACATTGCCTTAACTTGACTTTTCAATCAAACCTAAAATTCCTATCAAAGCAAGATTATTCACTTAAAAACAAGTTCAAAACAATCCAAAACAGATCTTTCAGATCCTCGAGTCATCCGGAACAAAAAATAATTCTATTCCAAAACTGGGTTTTGGATACTATCAAGCTTTGACCTAGAGTTGCACTGCATCTGATGCCTAAGTTGGATGTGCTCCCATCCTTAGGCTTGTGCCTTCATATTATGTGTTGACATTGCCCTTGATTGCTACTTAAAGGGGTTCGCTTTAGAAGTTAACTCTCACTTTCAAGTTGTCTCCTAATACTCTAAAGTAAATTTAAATTGAAGTTTAAATCCCTAAAATAAGTGAACTTTGCATCCCTTTGAAAAATACTCAAGACTTACATTTGATAATTAACTTATTTTGCACCCTGCTGTCGTATTGCATGTTGTTTTGCTGAGGAATGCATCAGACACTTAGCTATGAAAGGTGAGATTATGTTTCACAAGTAGCCAAAAAAGCCTAATAGGTTTCACCCATACGAGAAGAATATAATCTGAATTTTAATTCAAAAGTGCTTAAAAAACTCTTCTTAGTAGTCTTAACCATACATAAATCCTAATTTCCTTGTTACTTTCATATTTAAGCAATTTAGATTTTTCTTGTAAATCCCAATTCTAATCAGTGAGCTTTAACAAGGTATAACATCCAATCCGACCGTCCACTTGGTGTGTAATTTTGCATACAATTGTAAATGCAAGTCTTCTAAATGCTCAAGAATTTTTAGCTCAATCCAACGTACAAATTGTGAGAAAATCTCCAAACATTGCACCAATGTCACTTGGCCGCCAACTTGAAAAAAGAAGCAAAAATCCCAGCAATGATTTCTCCTTCTCCAATAGTGAACTTTGTCTCAAAATTGGCGTGTAGCTTGATCTTTAAGTCTTCCAACGCCATGCTAATTTTCACCTTAATCCGATGAATAGATCTTTAGATATCATAGAAACCTTACCCAACCTCAAACTGCCACCTTTTGAAACCCTCTTGTGCTAAAAACTAGATATCTCCAAACCACGCCGTTAGATTTTTACAAAATTTTATATGAACTTAGCACACCCAATAATCCAAACAATATCAAATTTTCAACCGTAGATGTCATGCCAATTGCACGAACTAGCCAAAATTGCTAGCTCTAATTATATTATATAAAACCCAAATCACTGATACAAACCCTGACTTTGAACAACAATTGCTAAGTCCTCCAAAACCCTCTCAAAACAATTCTTATGTCTTTGGAATGAAATTCAAGCTAGCTTTCGAACCATAACCTCCGATCTTCAAATGAAACCCTATTTTGCCCTAGGCCGTCGTTTTAGTGCCTAGAGGTCTGATTTCGACCTTGTCTCACAAATGGTCGACCCCCAAGTATCAATCCATCCTATCTTAAGGATTTTTTTGCTCAACCCTATTTTCAACTTAACCTTAGTACCAATTATACTAATTATTTACTTCTTCTAATCTGATTTCATCAATTTATGGTCTTTCTAAGATAGTAGAAGAGTCTCTATAACCTAGAAGGTAAAATTACTAACTAACCTTCAACCTACTAATTATTAAGATAAGAAAATAACCTAAGAGGCTTTTATAAAAGCCATGTTTAGATACCTCAAATTATAATTAAAACACAATAATTAGATATTAATTAGAAATTCAATTTTGATTATAATTTCACTATATAGTCGTATGACATCACGACACTGCCTTATGCCTTCATATAAGGATTTCCTTAAGATGAAGAAAGTGACCCTCTCAACTTCTCCTATGCTACCTTACCATGGATTCCTTCTAGACATCAAGAAGTCCTTGGCTCACATTTACCTCTACAGCAAGTGCAAGGGTCAATTCTTTTTGACTCTTACACCAATATCCAAGGTCCTCATAAATGAAGATTTTATCACCTTGTCTTTCCACCATATAAATTTCACTGTCCTAACCCCATTTCTTCATGTTCCTACATATTCTAATCATGTTTGTAATAATCCTACACTCTTGCACACACCCACCTTCTATTACAAACATCTTACAACCCCTTCATTTTCATCATCCTCTTGTATCTATCATTTCTTGTTTGTGAAACAAAAATTGTATAAAATGTATTTTCTATTGCCTCAACACACCTAAATACATGTATTCATCACATTCAAAAATATATATTAAATTGCCTCAACACACCTAAATACATATATTCATCACATTCAAAAATATATATTCATACTTACCACTATACAAACAAGCACAAAATTGCTTCCTTTCTCAAATGGTTTGAATTACAAATATTCACCCATTGTTATCGATTTACACATTTGTTTGTATGCAATTGTCGAAAATAATCATTTTGCAGTGATTGAGCGTGGATGAATGTTATGGACATGTTTGTGTGATTGTTGCATGTAATGACAGAATGTGAATGGGTCCAATTTAAAACAACAGTGAAGTGGGCCCACTGACTTGAGAAAATAGGTAAAAAGGTCAAAAGATGTTTTTTTTCAAAGTTCAAAGTCAAAATTTATTCTCTCACATTGGAACCTATTCACACCGCCAATCTGGCCCCACCCGACGTGGATATATGTCTGCGGCGGCGCTCATTCAAAGGTACTGGCTCGCAAGTTTGCCTTCACGCACAATGTAGTTCTGCTCGGGGAAAGCCTCGTGCTTCAACCAGCGGTCGATCATGTCCTTCGTCCCGGCTGCGAACCGTTTCTGCAAGAGGAGGAGGAATTTATGAGTAGGATTTTTCTGGAATTATAGATATGAAGCCTCTGATAATGCTTGCAATGCAGGAAATTAAGACTGATACTGTAATCCTAATGGTGGGGAGCTTTCATCACCTGGGCGTCGAGGGTCGTGCCGGAGATATGGGGGGTCATGGCGTGGTTCGGCATGTAACGCCAAGGATGGTCCTTTCCTGCCGGCTGAGCGTTCCATACATCTCCTCCATATCCTGCCAATTTCGGTTACCACGGCTTAGCGATCGATCCAGCAACCAGAGCCATTCGTGATTGGTGTTCATGTTCCTGGTAAGCAAGCCTAGGATTCTAGGTTAGCGACATGCAGGGGATGAGCGGAAGTTTTCGGAAGTTGTCGAGTTACCTCCGAGGTGTCCTGACTCGCATGCTTCTTTCACTGCCTCCGTATCTGCAATGGCTCCTCGCGCGTTGTTCACCAGATAAGCTCCCTTCTTCATCTTCGCAATACGCTCCTTGTTGAACAGACCCCTGTTGACGTTTTCCATCACCGAAATGCGAAGCTCGTCAGAGTGGGAGGGGTTGTTAACGCGTGTACAATATTACATTCGTAACGTTCTGTCTAGTGCCGGAAATGGCTAGGATATGAAGGATTCAGCGTGACAGGTAATCGATCACGGACCGTGTTTGATCCGTCAAGGGCGTGTTCACGACGACGACATCGCACTTTGATAACATGGTGTCCAGGTCCGTCTCTCGCTTGCAACCCAGCTCTTTTTCACGTTCGGCGCCGAGCGAGTTCCTGTCGTAGTAGAGCATCTCCTTAAGCCCGAAACCCTATTCACATGCAAAATCATACTTGCAAGTCTGAATCAAACAATCACTTGGAAGTTGGGATCTTAAGTCTCCACATTGCAGATCAAACTTAAGAAAATTTCTCTGCCATATACATGCACGTAAGGGTTGCTAACCTTGAGCCGTTTCATGAGCTCTTGACCGATACGGCCACCACCAACTGTGCCCACGGTCCTGTCAATCAGGTCATATGCATGGTGGACGACAGCGGCCACATTCCAACCACCTTCGGAGACCTGCTTCCATCCTGGTGCAAAGTTTCGGACCAGAACCAGTATACGCAGCACTTCATCCTCCGCAACTGACGTCACGTTGCTTCCTGAAATTTATATATCAAGGACCCAATCGCATTACAAATAGTCCCGCCGTGATACGCAATCTTTTGGTTTTGCTTTATGCTATTCCTTGAGGTTTTATGGGAATCCAAGCACATACCTGTGACCTCTGACACCGTAAGGCCCTTTTCAGCAGCAGCATGAAGGTCAATGTGGTCGGATCCCACACCAGCAGTCACCAAGAGCTCGAGGTTCTTGGCTTTGGCGAGCCTCTCCTTCGTCATGTACGCAGGGTGGAAGGGCGTAGTGATCAAAATGTGTGCGTCAGCTAACTCTTTATCCAGTTCTGCACAATTAGATGCCTCATAAGAAAATATTCGACGGATACAAAGTAATCATGCAAATCACTACACGACAGCTGCTCTAACAGACATGGCCGGAGCATGTCCTCCATAGCCATCGTCTTCGCCTCAAATAATCAAGAGAATCTTGGAGAGGGAAACGTACCAGAGTCAGGGCCATCCTTGTCGGAAGTAACAACGTACTTGTGGCCTTTTGATTCCAACCACTCGCGAATTCCCAAAGCGTTTTCGACACATCCCAGAAACTCAGGATTCTTCGCATACTCGTGTGCAGCGAAAAAGACACCCAATATCTTCTTAGACTCTCCTCCCTGCTTTATCTCAACAACAATACGCACTTAATTGGGAAAAAATTCCAGCAACTGTATATGCTTCATTTGCAGGTGAAGATTGAATCATAGAGCTAAGTGATAACCAACATAGTATGCGTGAGACGTGGGGATCCAGGCGTTCTAACACTCTGGATTTTGAATGGACAGTCAAGAATCTGTTGAAGGTGAGAGAAGCAGGGCAGTTACCGCTGCGCTGCTATAGCTGAATCGAGAGAACTGTAGATGCCTTTGAAGGATTTGGCTGTCCGCTGCAGAGGCACCAGTAAGTCCATGCTGCCTAGATAAGGCCCTCGAACCTGTTAATTTACAACCCGGAGCGGCGTTACCATCTCCCACAAGTGCAGCACAAACAAGATGGAGTAGAGAATTCGCAGAGCTAATTCCATAAATCAGTCACATTCCTGCAAACTCTGAGAAGTTAGGAAGAACAATTTGCTAGGTGCGAGTACTATGAACATTTATCAACATCGGATTGTAAAACTCTAACTCTATAAAGTGCGCTATCATGGCTAAACCATGACTTGGATATATATAGAATTAATGTTACACAGTGAATACGAACGAGGAGACGAAATACAATATCTCTCTCTAATTCTCGATGATCACGAGGCAGCAAGCAACTACACGGAGATGGACATCTGAGGACGATGGACAGTTGTTCGGATGTGGTCCGAGGCTGTATCAATCTGCTGGCGTCCCGGGTCTGGACATAAGTTCATACTCCTGTAACAACGAGCAATAACTCAAGACAACATCAATCAACCGATCGTTAAAGTGAATCTCCGGCCCAAGAAAAACCGTGAGTACCCACCTGCGAGCAACACCCCTCCAATTCTCCTTGACGCCATGAATTCTCCGCCACACCACTTCTCTCTAAAATCTCTGCTCCAGCAGTGCACCAACCTTCAAACTTACCTAATTGTGTACAGAATCGGCTTCCATAGACAAATATACAACGGATCAGAGTCGTCGCACACTTTGGCTAGAGCGTGTACCAATTGAGATGGTGTAACCAAGTGTGCAGAGAGGCTCGATCGACACTTAGAAGGGTACTGAATTTAGGATCCGTGTTGCCTCTGCTTTTATGCTGGGAATCGATCATAAATTTGGTCGAGAAGAGGATCTTCCAAATTCCGATCTTCGTCCCAAGGGATCTTCCAAATTCCCTAGGGACGGAGATCGGGGTATCCGTGCATGTGGACACATCGACAAGAGAAAACCACGTGGTCATCGGAGAACACACTTGCCCCGAGTGGGTTTGTGAATAGGCTCAAGGAATTATTAATTTAATCAATTTTTGCGATTGATTGCATCACCGCTTTACAGGACTGATGGCAGGTACACGATGACGAGTCAACAGGTCGAATAGAGAGGATAAGGAATGAAAAGCATTCCGAAATTCTCATCACCGCAAGGACACTACGCATGCGCGACAAGAGGCGTCATCGGCATGCTTGAAACTAAAATTCTTACGTCCTCGAAACTGGAGAAATGGAAAAGAGCGAGGTACCATCCCTTCTAACTCTAACCATCTCTAGAAGTGCTTTCAGACCCGAAAGGGGTTTTGAGTCCCTATGCAACGTCACTGCAAAGACATCATCAAGATCGACTGAATTTCACGGCTTCTTTGAGTGTGGCATCACCATAGATCTGTAACCGTCATGTACAAATCAGACAGCACTATGGTACCATCACTGTGAGCTTTATTAATCTCGAAGCTACCACTCCATGACAGGGAATCGTCACCTTTCTTCAATTCCAAAATTTGGTACCAAGATTCTCGAGGTCCGAAGATGCAGTATGCAGTCTTCGGGTTCGGGCTTGCGGGTTGCAGGTCTCAGATTCAAGCTCAGAATGGTCTTCCATTCAATTCTGCATTTGATTCTGGACTGAACAGAAATTTCGAGGATCTGTACTGGCTGCCCAGCACACTTGAAACGTGAACAGTCAGTCAATTTCCTTGACCAATTCCTGGAGTTTAAATCAACAGGAGCATATGACATGAGATGCAATGGGATCACTTGCCTTCGCACACAAGAATTTTGCGCTGCGGAGGGGAGTTGTGTAAGAGATGAGAGGGATAGCAAAAAGCTTCGTAATCGCTTCTTTGCGAGATGAATGATAGGATATGCTTGGTTGTGAAGTAAAAAGAGAGATGAATCCAATGCTCCGGTTAAATCCTTGGCTTCTCAAAAAAGCGTGAGGCTATTGTTCTCCAGAGGTGAAATTACTAGAATACCTCTCGAACAATGCATTCTGATATATAATTTTGGATGGTCATACATCAGAAATGATCCATCAATGCTGGAAGGTAATAAAGTGTCAAGTCCTTCAATCCTGACAAAATGTTCGATGGCCAAATCTCTGTGACCTGGCAGTTCGGCGGAGCTTCCGAAATGAAAATCTTATAATAGCACCCTGGAATTGTGGTGGAGCTCCACAATGGCATGATCCTCTATTATTGAATGGTTGATACACTCGTGGAATGCTGCGACATTCGTTTGAGAGCTGCAGTGAGGCACTGCTACTTCATCACTGGGGTTGTCAGTCGAGGTTAGGATAAAGGAGTTTAATTCGGTTTCGTTGACAGGTTGATGCCACGCGAGGTTACAGATTGGAACTCACGGGGGATCCTTCAAGCAGTGCTGCTATGATGCTGTGCTATACCTCGATGATCAGAATCTAGTGGGTGAGAGCTGGTGGCAGGACCCGTCGAGGAACATTATCCTGGTTAGCCAGAATTATCACAAAGTCTTCGATCTCAATTTTGACTCTGAACTCTCTGTTTCCTCCGCTTGATACTCGCTGTAGGACGCAGTACTTGTGACCTTCAAATGCAAATGGACTCTACATCCAAATGCTTCCGTCACACAAACTCTGTTTCAGTGTCGCAATGCACTTCGCCAGAAACTCCGGCTGTCAAAGATGAAAACCTGCGGTCATCAACGACGAAACGCATACGAATAACATCTAAAAATATCTCTGCCGAAATAATTCACTCTCGCCGAGTTTGATTCACAGCCTCGAGACCGGAATCGAAAAATATATTAAAAAATAATAATATCAAAAAGAATCTGTTCATGACCTTCATGAGTCGTCCTCTAAACTGCACGTCGATAGACACTACAACGATTAGTTAAAGTTTTTGCCTCGAGAAGACGAAGATCTGCAGTGTGTTTTTTTCTGCGCATTCTGAAGGGGAAGTTGAAAACTGAAGCACCGAACACTCAGCAATAACAACTAGATTATCCCTTCACCGGAAGTTATTATAGCAAGCACGACGATGCCCGGTTTAAAGACAAGTTATCAACAGTATCCCATTCCAAAAATTATCTTAAATTATTTATAATAATAATAATTATAATAAAAACATAAGTTCTCCGATTGTCGTAACGATCCGGCGGTCGCATGTTACCACGAGAGTTTCATGTTCCTCGTAGATTGACATTATCGCTCAGATCTCGCAATAAGACTCACCCACGCCATTCTTGTTTTCAGGGAGGCGATGGTCGCCGTGAACCCTAAAACACGTCTCCGATGTGTTGTTGACTGCAATTTCGCGACATTCATGAATCGGCGTGTTTCTGCAAAAATATGTTGCAAATTCTCAAAAGAAAAGCTTCAGTTCAGGTTGTCGGTGAATTCGTCACTGTATGTTTATAGAAGAATGAAATTGTCAATTACACATATCCCCAATTTAAAAGTAAAAAATAATAAATATCTATTTTTAATATCTCTAAATTCTAAAAGATGGCAAGTTGATACTAAAAAGTTGGTGGTTCAAATCCTAGATATAAAATCCTTGAGCTTACTTAATCTCTAAAGGACTAACCCAAGGACAACAACTCTTTTTATATTTAAAAATAAGAATAAAAAATAGTAATTGTTATTCTTTTCTACTTTCTACTTAAGTTAATGAAAAATTTACTAATAATTTTATTATCATTTTATTTTATTAAAGAATGTTGTATAATGATACTTATATTTATATCATATAAGTATAATGCTACTCTTTTTGCTTATAAAAATCATAAGTCTAAAATAATGTTGTATGAAATAAGAATATATTATATATTATATCTTCTCTATAATTCTCTTTTCTAAGTATTTTTTAATTTTTTTAAAAATAATTATATATATTTTAAAAATATTCAAATAATAAAATCTAAAAAAAAACTTGTATTATTTTTTATTCAAATTTATGCATAATTTATTTTTATTTATAATTTTATATACTTAATAAAGATTATATATTTATATTTATATATATATATTCTTGCTTTATTCATAATATTTAGTGACAATCATTTAATTTCATATATATTCAATATTATTTATTTCAATACTTTTTTTGAAACATGAAGATTATATGTTTATATATTTTTTCTTTAGATTAATTAATATATTACATATGTTTGTTATTTTACATGCATAAATTATAAGTCTATTTAAAATTTGTAAATTACATCTTTTTTTACTCAAAGACCATGTTCAACTTTGCAATATTATGTTTCATTTATTATCCTTAATATAAAATAATAATAATAATAATAATAATAATAAATTAATTATATTTAGATTTAAGAATATAACATTTTATTTTATAATACTCTTTTGTTAAAAATGCCAAACTTTGAATGTACATTTAATTGAGACTCATTTCAATGACTAAGCAAGTATCAAGACTTATATGTAGCCCTTATTTTCTTTGTTAATTTTTCTATTTATCTAAAAAAATATTCTATTAACTCACTAATTTTTTGATTTTAAGTACCATAAGTATATTTATTGTACTAACTTCATAAGTGAATTAATTCCATGATTTACATATCACAACCATTTGGAACAATTTAAAGGAGCAATGAATCCAAAATCTCTTACTAACTTGATTTGTCTTATCTAAATTTAGCCACTTTTGGTTGTTAGTAATTTATTAAGACCAAAAAAGAGTGGTAGTAGTAAAAAAACCAAATCAATGTTTATCTAAAGGATTATGGTTAGTGTTAATTTTCTTCTATCTTGTCAAGTCTAATATTTTTGAAATAGAAGACTTTTTGAGAAGATAGTTTATTTTATTATGAAAAGGTGAAATAATTCTATAAGAAGAAGAAAAAAAAAATTAAGAAGGATATAAAAATAAAAAGAAAAAGAATTAAAATATTAAAAAATTAAAAAATTAAAAATTAATCTTAAAAGATGAAAAGAATCTAAAAGTTAATATCATGAATTCCTTCTTATAAAAAGAAGAATTAGATTAGAAGTTGTAAAGGCCTACATATCATCTAGGAAGCTTAGTTGGCTACTTTTTTGCTCTAATACTAGCTCATAGGAATAGCTTACTATATAAACCGGATTTATACCTCAGCTATTTCATACATAATCATTTTTTTTGGCTAGCCACTCAACAATCCGAAGATGCTCAATTATCCCAAGTTATCTCAAAATACTATAAGTCATATTGGTTTTTTATTTTATTTTATTTTATTTTTGGTTCCTTCTTCATATTGAATTTAATTTATCCCTCAGTGGATAGAAGAGATAATAATAAAGAACAACTAATAACCATTCATAAATTGTATATTGCCTTCTTCATAAATCTAAATTCCATTGGTTCTTGGTAAAAATCAATGTTGTTTAGATTGTATATTTAGATTTCTATTTGATTTAAGTAATAAGAATGAAAATTATTTTTTCCTATATAATGATTTTATTTACATTCTATATTCCTTATATCTATTTCATGATGTTCGAATTGGAAAAAATTCACAATTTAATGTATCAAATGTAAAGATTTTTTGTCAAAGACTTCCTAAGTGATATAAGGTCTTAACCAAAGAATATCAAATCTTTTTAGGAAATCCATTCTTTGAGCATCTTATAACAACACTAGCATTCTAAGTTGTAGGACTCTTTTTTTATGTTTTTTTTATCAAAAGTAATTTTTCTTCTTCTTTGAATTGCTTCTATATGTTGAATCCTAGTCGTTTGAATTTCATTAAGGCCATCCAATAATTCTAATCTATCTCTCAAGAAATCATAGATAGTTAATTTATAACCTATTGTTATCATGAAGGAATTGACTTT